GTTGCCACCTACATTTTAGAGTAAGACATTTACTTAATAGTAATCGAAATCCAAATTTTTTTCTAAAAGTATTTTTTGAAAGCTATCCAAATGACCAGTACTTGATATTAAAGCCGTGAAAACTTTAAAAAGTATATCGACTGATGAGTGGAAGATCGTCCTATCTCGGCAGCCAGTTCGAGAAAGCCCGATCTCAGAAAACTTTTTAAGAACGCATTATTTCAGAATTTTATTGAAAAACATCCCATCTCAGAATTTGGTTGAAGAACGTCCTATCTCAGAATTCGGTTCACAAACGCCCTATCTAACCTCAAAATGTATTGAAAATGTGCTCATATAGGTAGCTAAGATAGGGCGTTTTTCAAAGGAATTCTGAAATAGGGCATTCTTCAAACAAATTCTGAGGCAGGGCGTTTTCGAACTGGCTGCCGAGATAGGTCGATCTTCCACTTAGCAGTCGATATGCACTCCGGCCAAAGCTCGGTCAACCTGGTACTTTCCATTATGCTACAACTACATACTTCACTTCTGAAGTACTCTGAATAGTGAGGCTTTTTAGGGTAGGGTGAACAAGGTCCTCCAATCTTCTCCTACTAGTCTAGTTCGACAATTAGGGAATCCATTACCGAGCACCAGCAGGCAAGATAGAAAGCATGCCGCCCTGAGGACCGGTCCTTAGACTGCGCATCCGAAAGGCTTGCTGCGCCATCATAGAACGCATCCAATTACTACTAGTTTTAACACACTCCTTAATTGCCTTTCGGTGCTAAAACATGAAATTTAGAACCTAAACGTTTTAATTAAATTAAATGTTCCAAAATGCACCTTAATAGCCCAAAGCACATCACCATAAACAAAAAATCGTAGCATAACCCAATAACGGCAATTCACTTGAGTTGCTGCTACATACGTTGGAGGCGGGTGTTGTACTAGTTTAGAATGTGGCATGCACCAGCCGTCCAAACTGCGTTCAGTCCATTTCAAAACTCGTTTCAGTGCAGCTTTTCTCCACTCACACTCATATATATTGTACATATGTAAATACATATGTACATAGTTATGTAGTTTCTCATATTTTTCTTAAAACTCGCAGCCAGAGTTAGCTGCTCCAGTTGGCCACCAATTGGTGAGCGGCCTTGTAAAGTACCAATTGGTTACGAAAACTTGTGAATGTTTATCAAGAAGGGGGGGATGTAGTGGATGTGGTGGTGTGCTCATTATATAAATAAGTATGTACTGATTATGTATGTATGTATGTAGGTGTGTTGCACAAAACCCCCCTCCCAAAAAAAAAGGCTTGTGCGGGCTTCACTTCCGCTACCATCCATTTCATTATAATAAAACGAGCGAAAATTGCACAATAATATTGCAAAGTCATGGGCAATGATTGAAATTAATGGATTTCTAAATGTTTCAACTAACATTTCCCACTACGTTTTTGGCCGTTACTACGCTCTTACTACCATTGGCGGAGTGCATTCGTAGTAGAGTAGCTAGCTGCCTTGCCTTCTTCGTTTTTGGCTGCTGTTGAATATAAAAACTACAACAACAATAGCAGAAATGAACTTTCTTTTCAGCTGCCGACCCCTGCAAAAGATATTCCTACCGAAATCGTCCCACTTAAATTTGGTTCCCCTTTGCTCACCGCGCAAAAACCCTTTCACCACTTTTCGCCATTTTCAACATTTTAGTAGTTTTGCAGTACCAAAATTTATATACATACATGCATACATGTGAAAGTGTTTGTGCCTAACTGCAAAGTGCGATGATTTTGGTATTAAATTTCCTTTTAATGTTATTGTAGAACGCCATTGAAGTACGGGCGTGCTACATCGGTGCGGACCATTTGCGCTCGTGTTCGGTTGCGCGGCTATTATTTTTGTCGCTTTTTTTTTTTCTGTGGGAAAGGGGAGTTCGTAGAAGGGGCCATTACCTTGTCTGCTATTCACTAATAGTTGTTGCATTGTTAGTCGGTCGATATCTAGTCGTTGTAAATGGTGTTATACTTTTATAGTTATTTGTTGTTAGTTGTTGTTGTAGCGGTTATAGCTATTACTATTTATATTGTTAGTGTTGTAAGTTAATGTTATCTCGTGAGTGGTAAATAATGCATTTAGTTCACTAAATACTTAAAATGAAATTAATGATAGTGAAAATTCAACAATTTTTAACACTAAATTCATGCGCATATACATATGTACACACATGTAACGGGTTTATATTATTAAAGCAATTTTCAACGGAAATTGTATAGATGTGTTAGTACTGTAGTTACTGAATATTTTATTATTTTATTTGTGTGTTGGCATTGCTAACCGTCGCACGCTATGGGTAACTGTATAATATTGCAATAAACTAAATTTACTGTGCTTCGTTAAATGTTTAGTTCAGTGTTGTATTTATAAAATGACTTCGAAAAAGATTACTTTCAATTAATGTATGTACAATAGTATGCCATATTGCGGTCAATGTGCTGCTGTCGTCCTGTTAAGTATTTAAACAATAATTTGAAAAGCAGAAAATAAAGCGAATAGTTAAAATTCTAATTTGGGAAGTACAGTTAAACTTCGATAGATGCACAGTGGGCCAGAAAACTGAAAATGTGGCCAAAATTTTTGTTTCACTATTTAAACGTGAAAAAATCAGAAAAAAAATTATGGTATAGTTATCAAAATCAAGTTATCAAAATCCATGGTATATTGAAAAGTACAAGATGTCCAAAAATTAAAAAAAAATAATAATAATCCGAGGGGACACGCATTTTGGATTTTTTGAAGTTTTACCAGCTTTAAACGTATTAACACCTCAAGGGATTGGTTCTATTTCTTCGCATTCTACTTAGCATTTTCCGAAGAATTTCAGATATATGAAAATTTATAAACTCAGAAAAAACATTCCTTCATACTAGGAAAAAATATCTTACTCTTAGGAAATATTACCTTGAAATGACTGCATTGATATGAGTAAACGATTTGACACAGTTTAAGGAAAGCACAGTTCCTTAGGTTTAGTATTTAAGGTTTGGAGCTTCAGAAATCTAAACCTATATAGCAAGTTTACGGGGTATAATCAATATATTCTTACGGTTTCGGACGTTTTGATTGATTCCAGAAAATTATATTGAGCTCAAAAGAGTATGACTAATTTTCATACGTTGTATTCATATGGAGAAAATAAACACTCGATATGCGACCTCTTAGAATTTTCGTAGAAAAGGGAGATTGGCGGGAGGGGGAGATGGCAAATACTAAAATCTGAGTCCGATCGCATCAAAGGATTTTTATATTTTTTGACGTGGTCTAATATATACACTGCCGGTAAAAAGTATTGGCACAGCAAATTTTTCACAATATATGCGAAAACTTTTTTTATAATATTTTTTCCGCCAATTTTTTATAAAAATATGACTCATTCGCCAACAAAAAACATAAAAAAAATAATTCCTAAACTTTGTGCAAAACTCACAAAAATTCATAAAATTTTCAACTTTTTAATCAGATGTTTTAGAATTTTTTTTAGCATAGGACATTTCAGGTCAACCGGATCATTAGTGCACCCACAGTTTTGGTTAACCTATCAAGACGTTCGCGGTCCCGATATTTTCATCTGATCAAGAGCTTTTAAGCAACTTTTGGCATTTTCAAAAATCCTATAATACGCAGAAAGAAGTTCTCCGCAAAAATACTTGAATGCCATTTTAAAGAAAATTTCGTGGTTCGTTAAGATAACTTAGCAATTTCCATTTGAAGATGTCCAATAAAAACATGCATTTGCATGCGATTCCTCGCGCTATTTATTTGTGTGACCAGGAAGGAGGGTTACTCATACGCCATACATGTTTTCTTGAAAATTTAACAAATAATTACAAAAAGTGCAATCCGCCGAATTATATTGATATAGATGTCTTTGGCTATATAAAATTTCGCTATATTTTTTAAACAGTGTTGGCTAGCAGTGGCGACAAAACAAAATGTTTCAAATGAGATAATATTTCTTTTCGAATACTTTAAAGTAACTAGTTTAAATAAGTTTATAATTTTTAGCTTTTAAATAACATTGGATTTTGGCCACTTTTTCAGTCTCCTGGCCATTATTAACCTTATAATTTTAGTAAGTCAAAAATGTATGTTAAATTTACTTACATTTCCGCTATTGATTTATGTGAAATGATATTGGCCAGACTTCAATGTCTGATGAGCATACCATCTATATCTGGATGTGCTTAATATCAAATAAGTTGTCAGACAACTTCTGATATCAGACAAGTTGGAATAAAAAGTTGACTATTTAGACAAGTCTTACAGGGTTCGTACAGATTTCTGGGCGAAATATCTGGACAATGTATTTATTTCCTTATCCGATATGTCTGATCGAATTCTGTCCGATTTCGGGCAGACACTTCTGATAATTCTTATTTTCCATGATTATTTGGTCAGACATCTGTTAGGTATCTGTCAGAATCGTCGGTCAGAATTTCCCACGTCGTGTCGGTTAGACTTCCTGTCAACCTCTCCATACGCTTCTCTGACCGATATCGGCAAAATCATACAGATTTCTGACTTTTTTGCCAACGAGTCTGACGGATATCTAATAGATTTCTGGCAATTGTGCTAGCTGGGAGATTTAAGAAGACTTTAGTTTGGCAATACTTTTGAAAGGGAATTTCAAAAATGAGAGGTCAAATTGAAGACCTTACCTGTAGATGTGTGGTAAAGTTTTTATTTATTTTTAATTAAGAACTTTTTTCATCGGCAGGGGATGATTTGGAATTTGATGAAATTAAAAACAAGGACTATGTCAGACTGCTCTGCACTTATAACTCTGATTTACTTTTGGAATATTTTTTAAGTTTTCGAAATTAAGTTTAGGGCACTTTAACGCCATGCGGGTTCATATTTCTACCAATGCTTAGATAAAACACTATACTTTAAAATCTATTTATAAAAAAATATAGTTTTTTCTAATTAAATTACGTGTTTTTTATTTTTTTCTAATTTCAGTGTTGCTGGCAGTTAGTTGGGAAGAGTGGTGGACGTATGATGGTATATCAGGTGAGTTGCAAATATAAATTATTAAAAGCAAATACCAGCCTAAAGGGCTGTCTGCAGTTCTCTTCTTTTTCATTATTTCTGTTACTTCAAAAAGTACTTTGCTGTTGTTGTAAAGTTTCCCGAAGAAATATATATTTATGTAAATGTAGTGCACTTTTTTCAAGAGAGCTGCATTTGGATTTAAGAAATTTCGATGAGCGAAAATTTCTTTTCCATTTCTTGTGCGCCATTTTGTAGGAATTTTTCGTTTTTCTTGAGAGGTGCAGCAGCCCTTAACATAATAAAAAACTCGCTTACAACAACAATCACAAAACACAAAACACAAAATATCAAATATGCGTGCAACAATTGCACCTTCAAAAATAAAACCGAAAAGCAAATACGAAAAATTCTTGAGCTGTGGTAAGAACGGAAATACGAAGCATTTAAATTTGCATTTTTCTGGCATAAAAGCAGTCATGCTACTAGCAATTTGCAACAAATTAGATATACGCCAATTTCAAGCAGCCAACAAAACGGTGATACACTGCGAAATTTGATTGCAAATCTCTATGTTGATAAGTTTATATGTATGAGTTTATGCTATTTATATAAAAGAGTGCAGGTGTTAATACATATACAGCCACGGGTATCGAAATCAGAATGTCTAATCATATAAATAGTTTAGATTCTATTCCATAAACTTTTACTTACTTTCACCTGTGTGTAATCAAACCTCGAAATAATTTTTTAATTAGCTTCGTGATGAGCTAGTGACTTGAAACTTCAAAATTAGCTCAGAACCAAACACGAAAGATGAATTGAACAGCTAGATGCCGCAGGTCTTGAGACATTTTAAAGCCCGTATTCTTGGTGTCATATGGTTCATATTTGATATGTTTTTTTTACTTACGGGAAAAGGAATAACTGCGTAAAGAACTTTGCCCGATAGGTGGCGATTTATTTCATATTTAAAATATATACATAGTAGGGTGTGCATATAAAAATTTGGAAAACCTATTTTTTCATATACCTATTCTTGGGACAGTAAAATGTACATACATCTTATGATATAAATAAGTATTCTGGAAAAATTGGCTGCACTTTTGTCACCGATGAAGAAGCAAAATCCAATCTTGGATGTCACCCAATAGTGAACGTTAGACTAAGGTAACATAACCTATAACCTCTCAACTGTTCTTACCGTCCTTTCTCAGCCGCTGTAGTTATATTGTGCCGCATTTTAAATGGCGCGCAAGAAGATAGAGTTTGCTTACTATATTTGTTTGGTTTATTTATACGTATGTCGTACGTATGTCGTTCGTCAGCGTTTGCATTTCTGCATGCGTGTCTGTATTTATGTGAGAAAGCGTAAAAGATTTCCTGTCACTTCCGTTTGAAATGTGATAAATATGACACTCACAATAACGCGGTTGTCTTACTATGTATCTCTCTACCTTCCACACTTCCGACTCAAAGTCACTACTACTAAGTGTCTACAAATCATATTATATACCAGTCAACTATATTTCAACAAGCGTTTCTTTTTCACAATCTGTTTGCTATACTCGTACTATAAATAAAATAAATAAAAATTTACATTGATTTATTTATTCAAGACATGCAAACACACAATCAAAATGTATTTCTGCCATTCATTTTTGTGCTGCTGTTCATACGAGGCAAGTTTAAGTGTCGTGTTGCCTGTCATCCGGACGTCATCAACATCTCGATTCGATTTGCACACGCCATCTCCATACATACATACATACATCCATACATAGGTACGTATACTTGCATATAAACACAAACAATCACATAAAGCGACGAAGAATTTGCGAATGTCAACACCCAGCCGGTTGACTGTTTACTGTTGATCTTAGTTGTCAAGCAGCCATTCAGCAATTGGATAACATTAAAAGCAGACAACGGACAAGAAGACGAGCAGCCTGGACACGCATAAATGGAAAGCCGTTAGTAAAGCTGAAAAGACAAGGATATCTTTTACAGGACGCAGAAATATTTTACAGTGTCTTTGATACCAAATGGCATGCAATAGAACTTTTATGAAAGCCGGCGTATGCTAGTTGGACGTTTATGATACACTTTAAAACCTGTTTGTTTATAAAACAGCTGGACATGTCTTTTGAAACTTTTAATACAAATTTAGCGTCGACAGATTATACTTGGCAATGAACTATCTACCTACTTATTAAATATGTATAATATTTTTTAGATTTTTTGACAAATGTCGGCCTAACAAACCGTTAGCCAAGTAATAATTGGTTCCAAAAACTAACTTACTTCTCCACCGCTCTAGGTGTAAAGCTTGTTTTAAAAGTAGCTTGACATCTAACAAAATTTTGTCCTTGGCGAGTCCTCAAAGAAGACTAAATTGAAGTATCTTCTTTTAGGTACCAAACATCGCTCGTAAAGCATCGATCGTAATGAGATACTACTAATACATTTATGCCTTCAAAAGCAGAAGACAATGGGCTCATAATTTTTCGCTTTCCCCTTTCCAAGATGTACTTTGTAAGATATACGCTTAGGCATTCATTGGTTTGCTCTGCGCGAAGATTTCTTAAACTTTTTTATTTACCTCCATCTTAAGAGGCGTCACAAAAAAAAAAAAAAAAAATGAAGCAAACAATTGCAATGATAACTAGTCTGGAGTGTAAATGCAAAAGCAAAAGTTAACGCTATAATGGCAAAGCAAAATCAACAACAACACCAACTTTGAAATCAAACAGAACCATAATAGCCATCGTTTGGGACTTTTCAGCGACGCACTGCAGTCGTTCCATTATCTGCTTCGATCTTATTTTTCGCAGAAATTCTTTTGTGTTTTTGCCTTTTTTACACAAACTTACGGAGACAACAGCGTAAGCGACAACGACACGTGCGCTGCGTTGCGACCATTGAGACACTTTAACTACCAATTCGAATTGCACTTTTCTCATTCGTACAGCTCGCAACGCATCGCCATTGTGCCTTGTCAGCTTTTCTTGGCGCATTGCAAAGTTATAAGTGCGAAATATGAAGGCATTGAATTCCTACACCTGGGTTTTTAAAGTCTAGTATGTCGGTGCGAATGTGAAATGTCTTCGCTCGTGTAGCTGTCACTATTCTTCTGTTCACTTTCTTCTTTGTGCAAAGATTTATATTTCTTTGGAATTTTCTGTTTTGCTGGCATTTATTGCCGCCAGCGTCACTGACGCTATGACACCTATGACGCGTACCATCGATTCAAGCTATTCCCAGTCAGCGTATTTTCCATACATTCATACTTTTTTCTCGTTGAGCGTTGGCGTTAGTTCCGTTGGACATTTTCGCTCTGAGATTGTCTTGTTGAAATTTAAGCAATTCTTTTTCCAAAATAACTTACTATCGACTAATTTGTAAGCGATAACAGTGATAGACTTTTATTTAATGTGTAAATGTTTTTAGATTCACGGCTTAAAATGTTTTTAGATTCACCTCACCTCACCTCACCTCACCTCAC